ACAAAGCAGCCACTGTTGCTGTTTCTCTCACTCCCATCAGTGCAATACCTTATGGACTTAGCATGTATTAGGGATGCTGTCTTATCAGCAATGCAACAAAGGGGGAGAGAGACGGACAAAGGAAGACGAGCTGTGCCTGTTTACCCTTTTAATCCACATTCCCTAGTTTTGTGAGTCAACATGTGTCTTATCACTCCTTCCTGTGTACTGATTGCTAAGGAAAAAGGAGGATGGCGGAGCTGGAACCCAGGGTGAGACTAAAGACAGAATAAATAGCCACTGGACACACCGGTGCTTATTATTGCATTATCATAAAAGCTGAGGAAGCTCTTAATTATTCTTTGCGGTTCGTGCTATTCAAATACACACAAACAAACACTTTGTTTAACTACGTCAAGAGGTTGTGTTAACTGAAGCATGCTGGGTACATAGTCTCGGCAGACAGGGAGATGGTGATGAACAAACCGCATGCGCTGTAATAAGTGTTGTTGACCGGTTAGAGCTAGAGGATGTGGCTCAGACAGTAGCAATAAAGTGGCCCTATTAGAGGTTTCCCGATTTTCTGTCATATATGTGCTGTTAAAATGGCAGAAGCTCCTCATAAAAATAGCCAATGAGTTCAATGTACGTGCAAGTAATCCCAGTGATTGCATGAGCGCTGAAGCCCCTCCCACCTGTTGTTCAGACCTTTTGTTTGCAAGCTGCAGCAAATAGGGAGAAAGTCGGCCTTAAAGGGAGGGTGAAGGAGACGCAAACAGCTTGTTTCAAGACATACGAAAAAAGACATCCTTTACCTCGCCGCACCCCCAACCAGTTGCCGCAGATGGCTGCCATTCCCTGAGCCTGGCTGTTGCCGGAGGCTTCTTCCTGCTAAAAGGGAGTTTTGTCACCAAATACTTGCTCGCTGATTGTTGGGGTTTTCTCTGTTTTATTTTAGGGTCTTTACATTACAATAATACAGAAGCGGGAGTTATTGTGATTTGGTGCTATATAAATAAAACTGAGGGCCTGTGTCAACAGCCAGGATAAGTTGATAAGGATTATTTCAAACTGTGATTCTAGTACACTTCAGGAGTGAAAGAGTGGAGTAGGAAATGAGTACAAGAGGTAAATTTGTTTGCTCTATTATTTGACCTACATCTGAGCTTTTGCATGTACAGACATGTAGGCCCGTGTGTTGCTTGAGGGCACAGACACACACACAAATTCACGCAAGCGGTTACACTCCAAGAGTGGTCAGTGAGTTAACATAGCACCCTTTTTAACGTGCCGTCACTGAATGAGTTCCTTTCTTTCTGACTGGATGATATAATGGCCTTACACACCCTGAATTACAGACACACCCTGCTGCTGCTATTACAACCAACTGAAGGGGGGGGAGAAAGAGAGAATGAGCGAGAGAAAGGGAAGAGGGAGGGAGGGAGATGGTGAGGTCAGAGTTGTCCATATTTGGTAATTCTGCTATGTTTTAATCCCACATTTATTTTGCTTCCCACTTCTGTTTGCTTCTCTTTTTCCCCTTTAGATCCAAGATTCTTATCATATGAGAAGCTGTTGTCATATTACAAAATGTGCTTTGAGCTCAGATCTGTTTGTATGTCAGAAGCCTGATTCTCTTGCTTATTCCCCTGTTGTCTTCGCCTCTGCCCCTCTCCTCTTTTGGCATCTGGTCCCTCTCAAGTAACACGTGACCTTTGACCTCTTAGCTGAAAATTCAGATATTTCCCGTCCATCCTAGTAAAGTAGGGATGTGGGGGCTTATTGATTTTTCCATGCAGACACGCTGAATCGTCAGCATTTTGCTCTCCATACATGCGATACCCAGCTGCTAAAACATATAGGAAAACAAACAGACACATTCCACTCATAGTGACACGCAGCGAACATAAATCACACATTGTACTGAAAATGCCATTTTCCTGTGTTTGTCAGCAGATTCCTGTCATGCCTTAGGCCCTGCTGCAATATAAGGCAACTTCTAGGGATAAATGAGCATAATAGTTTGCCTTGTGCAGCGAATGTGTAGTTCAAGTATACCTGTGCTGAAATATATATATAGATATGTGTTATTTCTCTTCAGAATGCCATCATCTGTTTTGTGTTGCCATCTCTTATCAGGGATTACTTCCAAACAGGAAAAACAGAAAGACTTGTCTTAGTAGAAAAACTTGCTTTAAATCAGAAGTGTGCAGTTCGGGTTATAATCCACAGCTCTGACACTTTAACCTCAAGCACTTCGTCATAAATAAGGATCTGTTGTGCTGATTTAGTGGCTTTGGATGAATCACGGTTCAAAATAATCCTTATCTACTTTATACTGGGCAAGGGAGAACCATGGAAAAAACTAAAAACTCTTCAAGGATCAAAAGTAAAGCTTGAAAAGACAGACGGTGGCTGCAGTGACACTTTTCAGTGTTTTTGAAACTCGGTTTCACTTCAGCTATTTGTATGTAATAACTTCGCTCTTCTCCGCGGTTAGTTGACAGAGCAACAACAGCACATAGAGTGGCCCACAGACCGGTTGTACCACATACTTTGTACACTGCCTCCATGACAACGGAGCTCGCTGCAGGCAGACGGGCAGTGCCCGGTCACTACCGCTGAAATGACCATATCAGAGTTATCCGCTCTTATCAAGCTTATTATAATTAAGTGAAACTAAACTTAAAAAATAATCTTCTGAAAAATATTAAAACTATCCATGCATCTATATTCTACTTATTCAGGGTCACGAGGAGCTGGAGCCTATCCCAGCTGTAATTAGAGTGAGAGGCAGGGTCCATCCTGGGCAGATCGCCAGTCTGTTGCAAGATTAACACAGAGACACGGGTAACCATTCACACTAATTAACCTAACCTCACCAACTGCATGTCTTTGGACTGTGGGAGGAAGCCAGAGTACCGACGCAGAGGTGGGAAGAATATGGCATACAGAAAGTCCTCGGCCTGTGAGGCAACAGTGCTGCACCACTGTGTTGCTCATTAAACCTAAATTAAATAATTTTATGAAATTTTGGAAAATCTATCTATCTATCTATCTATCTATCTATCTATCTATCTATCTATCTATCTATCTATCTATCTATCTATCTATCTATCTATCTATCCATCCATCTATCCAATGGAACATTTTCAAACAATAAAAACTAAACTGAAAGAAGAAACTAAACTGAAACTAAACTAAATTAAATAAAAGTCTTTTGAAAACGGGAAACTATAATAACTCTGGCTCTCACTGACATCATACAGAGTCAATAAAAAAGAGCCTGAAACCTGCATTACTGGAAGCTTTGGTCATTTTGAGCATCCACCAATGCAGCAGCATATACTGACAGCCAAAGCATAATAGTCAGGGTCCACAAACGATGGGTGATAAATTCAAGTGAAAACACAAACCCTTAAAGCAGACAGTGAAGACATCCAATGGCATTTTTATGGGGACACAGAGAAAGTGAAAAAACATTTATTTTCCACTGCTAACGCCTCCCTGCTGGTTGTGGCATGTGCGTTGGCCCTGTGCCTTCAGGGCCCGTTCAGCAAACCGGACCCAAATCACCCGATTTGAAACCCAGAGGGCTGCTTGAAGTAAACAGGTTCATATTGTACTTTCCATTCTCCGGCGTAGACTTTGGCATCGGTAACACAGGACTTTCATCTCGACATCATTCACCCTTTCCTACCACATTCCTGCTTTCCTGTTCTCCATTCCCTCATTCTCTCTTTATCCTTCATTTCTTTCCACAAGGCAACGTTGACGTTAGTTTTAACAGCCAAGTGAAAACTAATGTCAACATGTATTTCTCTCCTTTCACACTAATTAGATCATCACCTGCGGCAGTTCCCATGCAGTGTTAACACGTCTGATCATGAAGCTCGGCTCACTTGTTGGGCGAGTGAAAAGTCACATAACTGTTTTGAATTTTATCTTACACCGTGTTTGTTCTTCAGATCTAATCTCATATCTGACAGTTTGATGGATGCATTTCAATAAACTCACTGGAGAAAAAAAACTGGAGATCTGTTGGGACTGGCCATGGTGCCAGGTGCAGGAGGAAGTTTTAAAAGAGTAATTGCATTTTAAATTACGCAATTTAGTTAAATGCATCACAAAAATAAATCCACAACACCTGGTTTCTCGCATCTAAGAGCTTGGGAAAGTGTGGATAAAGTTTTTATATTTAAAAAATCCCTCTGGTGGAAGCAGGAGCCAATAGGCTGAAATTGCTTGTATGTAATGGTGACAGGATGACTGAGTTTTTAAAAATTGGTTAACAGTGAAAAATTCAAGGCCCTCTGCAACCATGCTGCCAAAGTCGGGGTCAGCTGCACACTGGTCTTCCTGACCTCCTTTTAGAGTGGAGACAGCCTGTTTACAGAGAGGAGTGCTTCACAATATTAATACATCTTATGTGTTTAAGCAGACAGAGGTGGGTGTAGAGTTTCAAGAAACCGCTGCCTGAGTTTTTGTTACACCTTAAAAAAGAAAGAGACAGACAGATTAGTAATATGAGTAGCACGCAAGCCTGCATGTGCATGATTTGTCTGCTATCTGACAGCAGAAACGAAATCAAACATCTGGAGCCATCCGTACTAGTTGTTTAGCACGGCGCTCAGGGCAGACTAGACCTCGCTGACACACGAGGGGAGATCCTGAGTGATGCAGTTCATCCTGAGAGTGACTGGTACTTATATGGTCATAAAAATCCTTAGCATGCACATACCTCTCTCATTAAACACAGCTTTATCGGTAACCTCTCTAGTCTCTCCTCCCTCCTCTCAACGCTTTCAAGTTCAGTTTTTTGTTCTTTGTCCCGCCTATTCGCTGTCACCCCTCCGCCCTGTGCTGCCTTTAGAAGAAGCCGATTGGACAAAAGTGTCGAGGATTAACAAAGGACGGCGGCCATTGGCCAGGGGGCGGATATGTGACAGCTGGGTCCCGCCTCATCCTGAACCCCACCCCAGGCTCCGGCGGGCCGTTCGCTGACTAAAATTACGCAAACCAGAGACCAGCCAGTGGAAGAGGGAGGGAAAAAGGAAGAGGGGGAGAGAGAGAGAAAAAAAAAAAGATAGAAAGAGCGACTGACTGAAGTGGAGGAAGCGAGCTCTGTAGTTTAGCCTGAACTCTTCGAAGCTGCTGCCGACAGGAAGATAAGTTTGTCTCACTGCGACGCTGACTGAGCCACACGGTTGTTGTTAGCCACCCTCTTAAAAAAGGCAGCCTGCACCCCAAAAGCAGGTAATTTCTTTCTTGAACACTTTTGTCTGCCATGCTTTCTCCATGTACTCGTTTCTAACTCGTGCAAGTCGCTTGTAGCCGCAGCAAGTGCAGTGAACCAGGAAGCAGGGCCTTTTTTTTTTCTTTTTTGGCTAGTTCAGGGCTGCAAATAGAGCAAGCTGCTCTGGGTGGAGTGGGACCTCCGTCGGAGTTTTAACCCGAGCTTTATTTAACTTCACAGCACTTTAATATTCAAATAATATACTGTCCATAAACTTTTAATACACGAGTGAGTGTGCAGTATGTGAAGCGTAGGTCTCAGAGTACAGCTTCAGCGTTGTGGCAGCTCGCGAGAAGCTAAAGGTCTTAACGGTAGAGGCAGGAAGTGATTCGCTTGAATGAATGGCACCGTGGAAGGAAAAAAAGAGAGAAAAAAAAAGCCGGGCGAGAGTTTGAGCTGAAGAGAAGAGGTGGAAGTTCAGGCTATCCGAACACCGGCTCGGTGTAAGATATGAATGCTTAGTTTGTGCTACACAACACCGCTACACAACTTATCGGTGTGTAGCGGTGGGAGACAGACACTGAGCCGGTGATATGTCTGGCTGGCAGGGTGACGTCAGTGGATCGCCGAGCTGAGCGTTTCCGCCACTGACCAGCTTTACCCATACTAAACCATGTCACCTGCATGTCTGTGCACTGCTACTGCCAACATGGTGGCATGAGGAACACATTTTACTGTGATTTTTGGGAGAGGCATAGAGAAGTCGGACAAACTCATAGGTGGGCTAATATGGATGTTTCAGAAGCTTAACTTGTATTATGTGATTGTCTGTACTATGTGAAGTACATATTTCTAGATAGATTTATTATTAAAATATTCTAGTTCACCTGGGAGGCACTTAACGTTTATTATCTCATTAGATAAAAGTCCAATGGGTTTCCAGTAAGGCTAAGGTTTCATTCTTCATACACTCATTGATTGCCTGATATGAAAGCAGTTTTTCCAGTCAGCATTATTCCAGGCCAAGATAGTGAAGAACGAAAATAGAGATGCATGTAAAAAATTCAGTGAATGTTATCCACATAGAGGATCTAAAGTCTAAGGGGTGAAGCAGAAGGAAGTATTTCGCAGCGTGAGATGGGCATGATGATAAAAGATGTGGTTGTTATGTAGATGAGCCAGATGTTAAGTCAGAGTGGTTCCTGCAGTGCCAGCTTAAAATGACCAGGCTTGTCTTGTAATTACAGTGCGGTCCACTCTGATGAACATTAGCTGGGCAGCGTGACTTTTTCCATTTTACATAAGAGCTGGAAGGGCTCGGTATCGGCTCAGTCTGAGTGCATTTTTATTTGTGCAACCCAGTGACCCAAATTTACCTCTAAAGGCTTTACGAACTGTAAAACATGAGACGCCATGTAATTTTAGAGCCTCGAAAGTCATCACGGGAAACTTTGAGTTCAAGCTCAGGCAAAGCGTGCATGCGTCTGCAGTGGAAATGTTGATCTGCAAGCACAGATTACAAAAAAGCATCTCTAGTTAGTTCAGGCTCAAAGAGAACATGCATGTTACGGCAACATTTGGGCCAATCACAGATTTTCAGTGTTCCATTCAAATCAGGACCAATCATGTCATACCAGTGTGCATCCTCCTGAGTGATGTGCTTTGTCAGTATCATTTGTTTGCATCTGTTAGATGACGCATAGTTGTTTGCACTCAGGGACTGTGGATAGTCATTTAGGCTATGACAAGCACCAAAGTTCAGCATTTTGGGGGAAGAAATGCACAAAGTCTGCATCAAATCAGACTTGGGCATCCCAGCAGCTCTGGCACTCCTCCACCCAAACCTGCTTCTCATTGTAGAAGGTGTTAGTGGTCTCAGAGGGAGGCAGCGTGGCACCCTTTTGCTTTTAAACACAAACGCTTATTTCATATCAGTTGGTTTCTGCCAAGAAAGTCTTAAACCACAGTGCAAGGTTACTACAGTAACAATGCTTGCAGGCTGAGCAGTGATCAGTATTAGTCATTGTAGTAGCAGAAGAATAGCCACAGCTTGTGCAGAATTCTTCTATAAATGGCATCTCAGGGTGACCTTTCTCCGGATGAGTCTCCCTGAGAGCAGCAGTCATGTGCTTAAAGTCTGATGCTTGAAGGGTCACATGGGGTGACATGTTGTATGTCATATCCTGTTATTCGCAAGAGTCATTTTGGCAAATTAATACATTGTGCAACATCTTCTCTGGAGGCCAGTTCTCCTCTCCCATTGCCAGTTTCGGTGCTGTTATGGAGCCCCCCTGCAGAGATCGTTACATTCCATCATTCATGTGTCAGCAATGTCCATACTCGAGGCCCTCCTGGGGGGGGGCGGCAGTTATGTACCGTAGTCCTGACAAAATTGAATGCAGGCCTCTTTTAAAATGTGAACAGGGTGCTGGTGTGTGAGGCTGTTCAGTCTTTTCAGAGTGATACGGTCTGAGGGAACTTGCCTGTGGATGTTTAGATTTCATTGAAGGGTGGATGTCCCAGCTGGGGAAGATTATTTGCAGGCCCCCTGCTTTTGTTGCTCTGTGGAGAGGGCAGTGTGACATTATTTGGCACATTGCGATCGTTTACCCTGTCTCAGTGTTATTTGAAGAAATGTCAGGTATTCCTATTCTGCCTTTTTGAACTACATTCGCATGTGCAGTAATTCCTGCAGTTTAGATCGCCAAAAAAACCAGATTGGAATATGTGCTGGGCTTTTTTTTAGGGCTGAGAGTAATGGGGCATACTTGAATTAATTATGAAACCTGTCTGTTGAAAATGATGAAAAAAAAGGTTCTGGCTTTCTAAAATGTGACTTTACTTTGGTTTAAGCTTTTAACTTTTCTTGAAATAGTTTTAATGCTCAGTAAAATGGTAATGTTTAAAATCGTGTGTGTCTTTGACACAAGATTCACAAATATAAACAAAACATTCCTGTCAGAGGAGATTGCCAAGTTTGTTTGTTTTTGTTTTTTTTCATTAAGCATAGCAGAGCCGATCGTATCCTCTCTCAGTATGTAGCAGTGTCAGCTGCGAGCGACACTGGCTTAAATTCATTTTTATGTATTAAAGGCAGTATCAAACATTAACAGATTTTAGCCTGTGGAGTCTGAATGCAGTATGTCATTAATGCTGGCCTTTAATTCAAGTCATTCAAACTGCTGCTTTCTCCTGAATGTCTCTTCTAATTTAGCTCTGCCTCAGTTAGTGGTTGACCCGACTACTCTCAAGGATATGCAGACCGTGGGTTTTTTCTTTTCTTTCTTTCTTTAAACAGCTTTGTATTTCCTTGTTGTGTCAGTCTTCTTATCAGACCTTTCTCTGTGACCTCTGTTCACAGTGCATGTTCTTCGTTTTACCTCCCCTGTCTCTTTTCCTATTCTTATTATCCCCCCCACACACACACACACACACCTGTGAGGTTTCAATAGAGCCCAACAATGGCAGGAAATGACTGTGCTCTGACTTAGTCTACATAAACAAAAGACTTGTTGAGATTTCAGGTCTTGAAGGACAGACCTTGACTTATGCCTCCTTGTGGCAATGGCTCAGCAGATGGTGGTGCTTTGTGTTCAGTAACGCTAATTATGAGGTATTGTTTGATTAGAGATTACAGTCATACAGTTGAGCCTTCTCAGAGTGCCAGTTAATGATCATACAGTTTTGTTTTGTTTTTTTTTCTTTTTTCTGGGATTATTGAAGTGGCTGTCCAAAATCTTGTCTTGTAAAAAAAACATTTTCAAAGTTCTAGTTAGCAGGCTTTACTTATTCATGTAAATGTACGTTTTTCAGTGTGAACCAAGACAAAAGCTGGGTTGAGGTTAAAAGGCCTGAAACAGGGAAGGTTTCTAATCTGCCGTGACTGTAGTAAAGCTCAGTTGCATTTCTGCATATGACCTAAATGTACTTTGTCCGTGGTTGGGTGGGCGTGTGTGACCTACACACCTGTTTTAACTGTGCGGAAAGGCAATTGATACTCGGGACGAAGTGAGAGACAGTTTTGCACTATGAACTTTGAAATGTGCTGAGTAATATGCCTAATATTTGACTTCCGTTGGACAGTTTATTCACATGTTAATCCAAAATTTGACTACATGCCAGCTGTCCAGGTTGTCAGACTGTCATGTGGTTCTCCAAAGACTGTTAATGTGTCTTTTTATGAGATGATTTTTTTTTTCTTTTAAAAAGAAGACAGCTTTGTATTGTCTGAATCTCTCAAAGGGAGTGACCTAAGTAGCGATAACAAGTGATAAGGCTGAGACAAACCGCATGGCAATCCACAAAGTAGAAGCAGCAGATGGAGGCTTTCTGCTGGTAGAATTAAATGTATAAGAACATACGAAAAGTGAAACTATAAAAGTAGCAGATTTCCTTCACTGTGTCTGTCAGAAATCTAATGCGTAGCTGTTCCAGTGCAGCTTTCCTCCTAAGAAAGATTGCTGCTGACAAACAGAAATGTGTATCTTAACTCCCTTCTGCATTCTTTCACTGTCTATTAAAAGGCTTACGTAACGATCTGTGAGCTATCACATAGTCAATACGGTTGGAGTGTTTTTCTAAAAGGGCAGGCGAAGTAACCAGTCGTTTGGGCTGTGGTGTAACAGGGTGGTTGTTTCAAAGATAACTGTGAAATTTGTTCTGTGACCCTGAAACTGTTGCAGTTGTCAGGCGGATGACCTATTTCAAATGGTCTGTCATTTTAAATCAACATTTAATCTTAACTATTGCTTGGATTGGGTGGAGGTGAAATTGATGTATTGGAAACTGATGACTTAAAAGTAACATTGAAATGCTTGACTTGAGGCAGTATGTGGAAAGATCATGTTCCCTCTCCAATTCTTTTTATTTTTTATTTTTTTTATGCACTGTCTCCACGGTAAAAACTTGTGTTGTGGTCAAGTGCAAGAGAGTTAACTTAAAGTAAAAGAAGTGCTTGAAAAGGTCAGCTAGAATGATTTGTAGTTGTTGAGCTCAGACTGTAATATTAACGATGAACTTT